TAAAAAAAAATTTAGTTTGAAAAATCACTGAAAAAATATTAATTTTAATTAAAATAAGTTTTATCAAAAATCTTTTTTAAATGTAATTATTTTTTTTGTAAATGTAAGTCCTTTTTTATTATATATGTTTGATTTTATAGATCTAAATATTTTTTGATTCAAATAATGCATAGGGACTTAATCGTTCAAAATATGAATGTTCATTAGGTTTTTTTCGGATTTTTTTCATTATTTTATCACATTAACCAGTTGTATATGTTACAAGAATATATCTAACAGGTTTTAGAAAGTCTAAATAGTTATTTAACATATTTTGGAATGTCCAATGATTTATTTGTTCCAATAAATTGTCCAAGAACTTAATCATTCCAAACACTAAAGTCCATTGGATTTTTTTAAACTTTTCCCATTATTAAAAATGAATTTTATTTGATTAAAAAAATCTGTCTCTTAATGGTTCTAAAACATTCTGAATGATTTTGTATCATAACCCTTTCTTAACCATTTAGAGTCCTAATTTCATTGAAAACAATTACCAAATAATTATATTTCATTTTTCACTATATCATGAAAGTCTTTTAATCATTATGACCACTTTATGGGTTGTTTGGTAGTTGCTGAATGGTTTGGTACATAATGATTAAGTGGTCAGAATGATTAAGAGACTTTCATAATGTAGTACAAAATGAAATATAATTATTTGGTAATTGTTTACAATGAAATCAAGGTGCTTAATGGTTAAGGGAGGCTCGGAATACAAAATCATTCAAAGAGTTTTAGAACCATTAAGAGAGACTTTTTTTTGTCAAACAAGATTCATCTTTTAATGATTTAGATGTTGTCTTTTAATGGAACTATTAAGAGGTGAACAAACAACCCATTAATCATTCTACACCAAACCATTCAACAGCTGCCAAATAACCCATTAGTCATTTTTTAAAAATAAAAATCATTTTTTTACATTTTTAATATATGAATTAACTCGATTTTAACGTTAAAAAGGAGGCAATGCTATTTGCATCCCATTTAATGTGTCAAGTCGTGTATTATGAATGTAAAAAAACAGGTTTTAAATAAAAAAATAAAATAATAAAAAAAACTATTTTTCATCTATAAAATTAGAATAGTAATTATATTATTAAAATATTTAATATAATTAATGAAATGTTTTTTTTCCAAATTTAGAAAATTTCAGTATCTTTTTTCTACTTTTTTCTATTTTAAAAAAGATTTTATTGAAACAAATATCTCCAATCATTGTGGGTAAGAACTATGTTTTGCATTTTTCTTTTTTTGTTATATTATAATCATTTTATTAAATTAATTTTTTTAATAAAATATAATAAGGGAGTTACTGTACAATAACTTTTTTCTTAAATCTTTCCGATTTCGTATAAAAGATATTCAGTCTGTCATAATATAAGTTAAATAGGGTATTTTTGCTCGTCGTGTCCTTTATATGGATGTCAAAGGCCAGAGAGCCATTTTATTGACTCGTACTGATGAGAATTTTACTCCACTTGAAAAGGAACAAAAAGCTGCTGAATTGGCCTATTTCTTGTGTGTACCAATTGATATTTTTTACATTATAATATTTATTACATCTTTTTAAATTAATTAAAAAACTAATAAAATTAAATCTCACATAAAATTAAAAATAAAAATCAAGATTTTTTTTTTTTGATTAACCTGGATATCCAACCCGTTATGTGAGCCAAATAATCTCAGGGCAACCACCTGCTTTGCAGGTAGCCCAAAGTCACTGCATTTGAACATCCGTAACCACAAGTGGATTTTTGTTTCTTCTTGGATTTGAACCTGTGACCTTCAGGCACTTTTGATCTTTGAAGCCAAACTCAAACCAATCAGGTACCACCCTTGTGGTTAAAAAGTATAGATGACTCATAAAAGCATCTTCAATAGATTTTTTTAAAATGAAAAAAGTACATATTTTGAGCAAATAAATTTCTCCAACAAATTCTTTATAATTGGCATCTAAAATAAAAATAAAAAGCAGTGTTGTAGGAGATGTGAAATTCTCTGAAGATGAACTCTCCAAAAATGATTACCGTGAGATTTTGAGAGAAATATTAACGTTTAGGATAAAAAATAAAATTATATTAAATATTATATATATGAAATATTTTAATAATATAATCAATGTTGTAATCTTCAAAATGGACGAAGAAGTGTTGGGAACTGGAAATCTCTATCTAAGTACAATAGGTGCATTATTGTACTTAGCACAATGCATTATACGAACTAGTGGCTTAAGTTCAACTGTTATCCTACCTGCATATATGAAAATAGAAGAGTACTTGCGCGATGCAGCGAGACATATCTCGATTTTAATATTCTATTTTATTATTTGTCTCTGTCGATGTTATAATATGATTTTATGTGTTTTTAAGAAATCAATAATGATTTTATTTTTAAATAAAATATAAATTTGAAGATATCATAAAAATTTGAAAATCAAAATATATCAATGTTAATATCAAATCAAATATTTAAAAATTTTCATTTTTTATGTAATTTCTTTAACTTAGTTTTCTTATTATAATTTAATTTAAGTTTAATAATAAAATAATTTATTTATGGTTTAATAATATAACATTTTATAAAGATATTAATTAAATATTCTGTTATAATTCAATGATCATCTTAATTATATTTTAGATTTTTATATTTAAAATGAGATGTTTATCTTGTATTTGATTATGTTTATCTGCAGTTAGTTACACGAATTCAGATATAGAGCTTTAATAAGTTGTACTTACGCACAATCCACTTGTAATTTTGAGTTTTAAGTAATATGCATTAATAAACAGTACTTTACGTATAAAAAGTGGTTTTTAAAAGTTTTTGTCAAATGCTTTATAATTGTAAAACCCAAAATTTCGAGGAATAGATAAATTGCCTTTATTATTATTTCTATTTATTTATATGTATATATATGTCAAATAAAAATAGAAATTAAAATAGGTTTAAAATCGGACCAAAAGTGAAGGAAAAGTCAAGCCATGGGTGAAAGTGTAATTTCGCGATAGTTAAAGGGTTGGGTCGGATGTAAGCAGGCCCAAACCAGAATGACCTGTTTTGTAAATGTTCAACAGACCTGCACTGCAGAAGGGCCTGCTGTCAACGTTGGGTGAGGCAGAAGAGGAACAGGCGGTGCCTGGTCCAAAAGGGGAAACTGTGACCTGCCAGTTATAGGCTGTGGAGGAACAGTTTCACAGCCTAAAACTCGGGATTCGGCCGATTTGGTCAACTAATAGGCCAAATCGTTTGAGTATAAATTATGGGCACTGGTTTAGGGTCGCCATTCTTTTAAAAGAAGAAGGAAATCGTCGAGCTTAAGAGAGAAAAACCGGAGTTCAAGACCAGGCAAGAACCCCCTGTTTTCCCGTCATTTAGAGGTAAATGCTCAACCAAAATTTATGTTGTTACAATGTTTAGCTGTACCTTTGACCCTGTGTAGAACTCTATGAAGGCCCACATCCAAACTTCGCGTTTAGAGTTCGAATTCAAAGTTTAGATTTCATTTGGTGAATACACTGTATCGCGTTCTGTTTAGAAACCACTTTAAAGAAGGTTATACAGAAGCTCTGCATGAGAGCTCTGTATCAAGTTATATGGTATAGAAGCTCTACATGGGAGCTTTGTATCAAGTTATGGTAGCCAGAAGCTCTATATGAGAGCTCTGTATCAAGTTGTGTTAGACAGAAGC